TCTTATAGACAAGTTTTTGAGCCGTTTCCGCTCTACTTCCTGAACTCCTCCCGTCGATGCAATCCACTTCCGTTCTGCCGGGCTGGGTTTGTTTTGCTAGCTAGCTCCGTTGTGCCGACAAAGCACTGATATCGCAGTGACAAAGAGGATATAAAAATTACAATTACAACATGAAGAAAAGTGGTTCGGGAACGACGTGTGCGGTAGTTGGTTGCAAAAACTCGAGAAAGCACCTGAACGAGTGGTTAGATAGAGAGTGCTACGACCACAAACCAGCTACGAAGAGGCAATGTCCATGCGCTCCATTGTTTACATTTTTTCGCAAGCCTGATACCGACTCGGAATCAAGGACCTGGCTGAAGGCATTGAATCTAAAGAAACCACCCCTCAACGTTTTTGTTTGTTCCTATCACTTTGTTGACCAAAAACCTACCAAGGATAATCCTTTCCCAGAGTTGTGGTTGGGATACAATCGCCCTCCCCAGCCAAAGAGGCGTCAACTCACCCAGCGGACCACTGCCTCCCCCCAGATAAAGAAACGCAGACTTGAATCTGAGGGTAAGTTCAGCAACTTTAGCTATGAAGCTGACAATACTGTTAATTATGAAGAAGTTGTCATACATTAACATTGCTACCGGTATTTTGCTAAGGCAGTTGATTGTTTTGGAGATGGGACAAACAATGCCCACGATAGCTACATCATTAATTGTGTGTGTGTGTGTGTGTGTGTGTGTCTGCCTGCGTGTGCCTTAGTCTACATCATAAATACAATGCAAGGTGGCAGGCTGTTAAATAATAATATGCCATTTAGCAGACGCTTTTATCCAAAGCGACTTACAGTCATGCGTGCATAAATTTTTTGTTTGTTTATTGGTGGTCCCGGGGCTCGAACCCACTACCTTGGCGTTATAAGCGCCGTGCTCTACCAGCTGAGCTACAGAGGACCTGTTGTGATGATGATTGTGTGTGTGCGTGTGAGTGCAATGTTGTAGTACACATTTTTCCATTGTGATGTTTGTAGTGAGAGGACTCTATGCCTGCATTAATTTAGCTCCATCCATGTTTTCTCTTCCCCTTTTTAGATGCTCCAGAAACCTGTCAGCCTGTCTGTGAGGCCGAGCCTGCTACACCAAAATTTCGAGATGCCCAGACCCAATGGGAGGATCCGTCACATATTGATCACATTTACTGTTCAACAACACAGTCTGTTAAAGTAGACAAGGCCACACAGTGCGAGGCAGAAATGGGTCCTACTGTGACCAGCACCACGGTCATTGATGATGCTAGGTCCCGGCTGTATACAGGAGTGCTTATGGTTCAATTCTTCACCCTGGTGACGGTGTTGTTGCCTTTCAGTAAGCCATCAATTACCCTTCCTGTTGTTGACCAAATACTTATGACGTTGATGAAACTAAAACTAAACCTAATATTAGGAGATATTGCTCACCGCTTCAATGTGTCTACATCCATGGCAAGCATTGTGATTAGTCACTGGATTGACGTGATGGGTGAACAGTTCAAAGTCCTGATCCCCTGGCTTCCAAGAGAGACCATTCGTGCCACCATGCCCTTGTCGTTTCAGAGGAACTACCCTCGAACCACCTGCATCATTGACTGTGCCGAAAGTGCCATGCAGAGAGCCACAAACCACGACTCAAGGAGTGACACTTTCAGCCAGTATAAATCACGCAACACTGTGAAATATCTCGTCGCTGTGGCCCCTAATGGGCTAATCATGTTTATATCTGATGCCTATGCTGGCAGAAGCAGCGATAAGTTTATCACCATGGACAGTGGGTTCCTAGACTATCTGAGGGCTGGTGATGAGGTCATGGCGGACCGTGGGTTCACCATTCGAGACTTGCTTGATGAGAGAAGGGTCAGTTTGAACATCCCTGCTTTCACCTACAGGCGCAATCAGTTGACCAATGAGGAGACGACACGCACCAGGCGAGTAGCCAATGTCCGCATACATGTGGAAAGAGCAATCCAGAGACTGAAGGTGTTTAAGATTTTATCCCAGAATGTTCCCATCAGCATGGCACCGAAACTGGACAACATCTTAACCATCTGTGCTGGCCTAGTTAACCTGAAGAGTCCACTGATCAGTGAGGTTTAGAATATTGCCCTGTGTCCCTGTCTACCAACACCCAGCCATGTTGTTCATTAAATACAGATAAACACAACAAATACTGCGTGCATTGTATTTTTAAATATTATATATGAATATTTTCATAGTGATGTAATTGTGTGGGCTGCTTTTGTATTTTACTTTTTAATACCTGTTAAGATTAAACACGCAATCTTTCTTGTTGAAGCCATTTGTTTAGTTTCCTCAAAACAATTAATTAATCCAGTGTTATTTATGTACAGTATTAGCTTACTATGAATTGTGAACTGTGTTAAAATAAATTGTAGCACTCTAAGGATTGAAATTACATCCAACTTTATTTTCACTCAAACAGTAGGCACACTGATATATTGCACAGCATAAAGAGATCATGTAAACAATGGACATCTGTTGGCTCCTGTGGGCATGACCTAAATAAGGCAGTTTATTTTGGTTTTAAAATGCTGAGATATTTACTGCAGAACTGTAACCTTCCCTCAACAAAATCATCAACAATTTTCGGGAGCATGTGGGCAAAGTAGAATGTGCGCAGCCTTATGATATGCCCCTGGACAAAGCCTTGGTCGTAGGGTACTTCGATTTCTAGGTGCTCAGTTTTGTTCCAGATCACCAACTTGGAGTGCTGAAGCCCTGTGCAGTGCATCCCAATTTGTACCTGCATGTAGTAGCCTTTTGGACCATTTCAGGCAATATGGTAATCTACCCTATCTCCGTTTGCCACAGTTGTGATTTCGCAGTTCTTTGTTGCCAAAAATTCTGCACGTGACTTGTTTCCCATCACAGGTGATTTGATCTCCAACAGAATGTCGTTGTTTATCACTCCATCGGGAGATGCTGCAAGCCGTGTTCCCAAGCTAGCGTCGACATCGCTGTGTTTACACCGGCAGACGTTGTGCCAACAACTTCCAGCGGAAATGAAATGCATTTGTGTAGAGTTATGGCGCCACCCGGGATACAGCGCGTAAACTTGTCGCACCCTTCTTCTTCTATGATATCATGGCGGTGCGCAAACAACCGTTTAAGTGCATGCCGCCACCTACTGTGCTGGAATGTATGATCAATCATGATCTGTCCAATTCTGTACTACCACGAAAATAAAAACCAAATAAATCCCTACTAACTTCTACCACACCCTCCCCCAAAAACCCCTCCCCAACCCCCCTACCCCATTAAACTTCATCTATATCATGCTGAAACACTTCACCCTTAGGATTGTTCAGCATGTCAACAACCATTTTAACAGTAATATCTGTTACCCCCAATATCTCTTTTGCCGTCTCCACAATAACCATCAACCCCCCCCCCCCCCCCCCCCACACACACACACACACAATTACAACACTTAACCTTCACATTGCTCCCACATTCACCGTAATCATGTTCCCCTCCACACTTGGCACAGCTTTTCCTTCCTTTACATTGAACAGCTACATATCCCATTATTTGGCATGTAAAACACTGCAATGGGGATGGGACAAATTCTCTGACATTGAAACTAAGGAATCCTATCTGTACTTTTCCAGGCAAAACCTTCTCAAACCTCAGCAGCACTGATAGGCTTTCACTTCTTTGACCCTCTTTCCTTCTGATCAACCTTTTGGCCTCAATCACTCTTCCTCCCTTCAACATTTCTTTAATATCATCTATGGACATAGATATTGGGACCCCAGTGATGACTCCCCTCAATCTAGCATAAGCACCATGGACATGGCTTTTAATCTTCTTCCCATTAAGCTTTTCCATTTTCAGAATCTTCTCTTGCTGAGCCTGGCTACCACAATAATAGCAATCTACCATTTCCAATTAACCGAGCTAATTTGACTTCACCTACGTCTTTCTCTACGGCATTAGTTAGTCGGATAGGGTGTAAATAAGGCCCTGTGGTCTCACCAAACACCATCACCACTTTCTACTCTAACACATTATTACTCATGCTTCCTACATTGGCCCTCTTTATGCTTTCTTTACTAGACGCTCCACTGCTTTCTGTATCTTGATCTCTCTTCTTCCTATGTCTTTCCACTACTGACCATTCCGGTCCTTGCCCCTCATCCTCCTGCTCCATACCATCAGAACTGACACCCATATTATTCGCATTCCAGCACAGCTTTTGCTTCACCAACTTTATCTCAATTTCATCCGCACTACTCGCCGCCATTTCCGACTCTCCAACGTAACAACCTTCCCCCAGTCTGCTCCTTCTCCAGCTGTCTCTCAACGGCGACCCAATTGCACACTTCTCAAGATGGAGGCGCATAAGCTGACATTTTAATTGAAATAAATAAAAAGTGGGCGGGGCAGGCAAGTCCCACTCCTCAATCAAATAGGCTACATGACCAGAAACGGTGCACTGAGCTGTATGACGTAGAGGGAGAGATTGTGTGAAAGGGTTAGAGAGGCTGGACAGGGTTGGGGTTTGGGTGGTGTAGTGGGGGGAGGAAAGGGGAGGGAAGTGTTGTCTAGGGCTCTATTTCACTTTCTTAGAGGAACAGGACTATTGAAGAGAATTTAATGTAGGTAGACCGTGACTGGCCTCACACTCCAGTACAGTAGGTGGCGGCGTATGCACCTTAAAAGTTGGATGCGATCCGCCAAACCACTCTCAAAGAAGAAGAAGAAGAAGAACCGCGCACTGGGTGACGGGCATTCCGAGTCTTTTTGGTGAGTGTTTCACAGATGCGATTCGGTTCCCGACGTTCACCAAAAGGAGCCGTTCGTTCGCGAACGACCCATCATCACTACTGCGTAGTTCCACAGTGCCGGACAGGGTGGTGTGAGTCCGTTAAGTATCCGGGGAGTCAATTTGACACTTTTAGTCAAATAAATGTTTTGACATTTTCATTACCTGTCACTTACACCAAAAAAAGATATGGGGAACCGTGTCGCTCGTGAGGATTACGAATGGGTTTATACAGATCAGCCACATGCCGACAGGAGGAAAGACATTTTGGGTGAGCATTTCTCCCCCCCCCCCTCCATACCCCAGTAACGTTAGAAGCTAACATTAACGTGTGGATTTTTTTAACAACTAGACCTGATATCTAACTTGCTAGCAACCAAATGTTGTTCGCTTAACAAGCTCATGAATCAATAGTTTAGTTAATGTTTATCTTGTCTTGCATCACAGCTAGCTGGCTGCTAGCTGCTAGTAACTAACGGCAACCCACTTCATCTTCAGTGGTACGGTATGCTAACTATGTAGCTCACTGCAGCTAGTTATATAGCTAGCAGTAGCTCACTGCAGCAACAGATTAATAGTTAGCTAATTGGCTAGCGTTAGTTAATTAGCTAGTTAGCGAACATTGGCTAGTTACTTACCTTGTGAGCCAGGCAGGGAGAGGGGTGTTAGCTAGCAGCTTTATCTAATTTCAACAATTGCTGTTGCCAACAAGTAGCTAACAGTCTTCGTCATCTAGTTAAAGTTAGCTAGCCAGGCCAATTATTCTGTGTAAAGATTCCTGTGTACGGGTGTGGTTTTGGTAAATATTGCCTAGTTAGCTATTTCTCCAATCTAGCCCAAACTGGAAACCGTTACTAGTAACGTTACAACAAAGTCCCTGCCATGACCCCTACTAGACTCACTGACTGAGACACACCCTGAAAGTGAACAGTTAGCTAGTCAGCCTGTAACGTTAAGCTATTTGGAGATTACACGATGGTAAAGATTCAAAAGAAAAATACCGTTGGAATAAGCTAGTAAACGATACAATCATGAAAGTAGTTAGCTAGTTACAAATAATATTATTTATTATTGTTGTCCAACTCGCACATTGAGCATTGTCATGGGAATGGTGACATAAATGTAACTGAGAACAAAGGGGCAGGGGGCAGCACATAGAATTAGAATAGGACTGTAGCTAGAGGTAAGTCAGAGGCACTGGCACAACTGATCTCTAGGGCTAGTGTGTGGTGCCCAAAACCTTGTGGGTGTGGTACCAGTAGTCCCTTGGCCATAATTACTATGTGGCCAACTTTTGAGATGAAGGGGACTCGTGTAATGAGGAGCAGGTGGTCTTCTGTATGCATAGTCTTGTCATGGATAATTGGGGTTGAGTGGGCTTTCTGAGAGTCCAATGTTGATATAGTTCCAACATGTTTTGCATGTCAGTAATCAAGTTTTCAATAACTTTCATACTGGCTGTATTTCATATGATGGAAAATGGATCATACTGGCTGTATTACTGTATTTTGAAAGTTTTATATATTGAAAACTTGATTGCTGACATGCAAAACATCCCTTTGTGCTGAGTCCGGGCCCTGTCGATGTCATAAAGAACTCATTGACAAAGGAAACGTATCCTGTCTGAACAATTAATTGTAGCCCTGGGAGTCCCGCAGCATCATGAGGCATAGAGGGACACTGAAAGTTTCTACCATAGAGACAGGGGGGCTACGGGCTAGTATTGCAGTCTGGTGGTGGCTTTTTATCTCAGTGTAGTTTTATTGTAGGCCATGTAAGGTATTTGGACCCTTTCTGAGCTCATCACATCGAATCAAGCATGTAAAGGCCTATGCTAATCACATGCCTCAGGCCTCTCCCACCACACAGCCCCTTGACGCAACATAGAACAATGTAGCCTACACAGGAAGTGGCATTTCTTTGCTGGGACTTGTCCCCTAGATTAACTGCAATCATGGCCTCTCTTTCTCAGTAGCCTATTCAACAATACGAACCTAAGCACTCTTGAAATATAAAAACACAGTATGATTTCCTAGTAGTGGAAATTAAACTATGTGCTTCCTTGAACTGGCAAAAATGGCCCTAACATGTTGACTAGACCGGTGATGTGCGTGCACCATCACTCGCATGTTGATTTTGTCCATGGACACCAGACGTGATAAGGACACGCAGGTTGAAATATCAAAACGAACTCTGAACCAACTATATTAATTTGGGTACAGGTCGAAACACATGAAACATTCATGGACATTTAGCTAATTTGGTCTGGGATATTAACATTGGGTTGTTATTTTACCTGAAATGCACAAAGTCCTTTTTTTTCTGGATCTTTTGTAGAATTTTGACCCATTTTGAGTCACACAAAATCGTGTGTTCTCTACTCCGATAATTAATCCACAGATAAAAGGGGAATCCTAGTTAGTTTATAGTAATCTCTTCTTCTTCTTTGGTCTTCTTACTTCATATGGCGATTGGCAACCAACTTTAAGGTGCATTACCACCATCAACTGGACTGGAGTGTGGACCTCAGTTCATCTTTCAATCACCCATGTGGGTATATACTCCTAAAAACCAATGCGGAGATGGGAGATGTGGGACTTGCAGTGCATCAAGCGTCAAAAATAGAACCAAATTCTATTTTAGTGCCTTGCTATGCATACGCGTGCAAGCAGTTTGGATGAAATTATTGAATAACATGCATGTCAAAATTTATTTTGCAATGCTTGTGCACGCAACGTGGGGGATGTGGTCAGCATGTAAGGTAAATATTGTCAGGTGAACATGTAAAGCTGACTTTAGAATAATTACTCCAGACATCACACAAATCCAATCAAATGATTGATTTGATCACTCCACAAAGTGATAAGCAGTTAAATTAGATAGGAGTGCTGGACTATTGTCAGCTAGCCAGCCCACCTCCTTCCACCTGAGTTTTTCCTGTCTCTGTCAGCCTTAATCCTCCTTATCATTCAGTACTACTGATGAAACTAACCCAAGTGCGTTACGCTGTGATGGGACATATAGATCATGGTCTGAGAGTCGTTTAGGTGCCTTTTGGCAAACTCCAAGTTGGCTGTCGTGCCTTTTACTGAGGAGTGGCTTCCGTCTGGCCACTCTACCATAAAGGCCTAATTGGTGGAGTGCTGCAGAGATGGTTGGCCTTCTGGAAGGTTCTTCCATCTCCACAGAGGAACTCTGGAGCTCTGAGTGACCATCGGGTTCTTGGTCACCTCCCTGACCAAGGCCCTTCTCCCCCCGATTGCTCAGTTTGGCCTGGCGGCCAGCTCAAGGAAGAGTCTTGGTGGTTCCAAACTTCTTCCATTAAAGAATGATGGAGGCCATTGTGTTCTTGGGGACCTCCAATGCTGCAGACATTTTTTGGTTAACTTCCCCAGATCTGTGCCTCGACACAATCCTGTCTCGGAGTTCTACAGACAATTCCTTCGACCTCGTGGCTTGGTTTTTGCTCTGACATGCACTGTCAGCTGTGGGACCTTATATAGACAGGTGTGTGCCTTTCCACATCATGTCCAATCAATTGAATTTACCACAGGTGGACTCCAATCAAGTTGTAGAAACATCTCAAGGATGATCAATGGAAACAGGATGCACCTGAGCTCAATTTCGAGTTTCATAGCAAAGGGTCTGAATACTTATGTAAATAAGGTATTTCTGTTTTTATATTTTATAAATTAGCAACAATTTCTAAAAACCTTTTTTTGCTTTGTCATTATGGGGTATTGTGTGTAGATTGAGGAAAACAATTTAATCAATTAGAATAAGGCTGTAACGTAACAAAATGTGGAAAAATTAAAAATGTCTGAATACTTTCCGAATGCACTGTAGGTGCTGATTTTACATTTACATTTACATTTAAGTCATTTAGCAGACGCTCTTATCCAGAGCGACTTACAGTTAGTGAATACATTTTTTTATTTATTTTTTATACTGGCCCCCCGTGGGAATCGAACCCACAACCCTGGTGTTGCAAACACCATGCTCTATCAACTGAGCTACATCCCTGCCGGCCATTCCCTCCCCTACCCTGGACGACGCTGGGCCAATTGTGCGCCGCCCATGAGTCTCCCGGTCGCGGCCGGCTGCGACAGAGCCTGGATTCGAACCAGGATCTCTAGTGGCACAGTTAGCACTGCGATACTCACGATTCTATATGTATTACAATACGATACTGTGATTTTATTGCGATTTGATGTTTCAAGCATATTGCTCACCATATGTCCTCTGCAGAGGGACAAGAGAGAGCCATGAGAAAACAAGTTTTGATCAGCCATGGAAATAAGTGCTGAAAACAAATTGGGTCCCTATTTAAAAAGATGGAGAAAAAGCTATGAAGGAAAAATACTTTTTGGTGCAAGTACAACCAACTGGCGCCAAAAATAATATCGCGATATTGTCAAAATGATACGATATATTCTGAAAAATAATATCCCGATATGTAACTAAGTTTCCCTCCACCCCAATCACTAGTTATAACGTTGCTTTGATCAACACCACCCACCCTCATTGTTATTAAGTTGAAAGGTCATTAGTCAAGAAGCACTACAGTTATTAGGCTAAACAGTCCCTCCACACGAGTCCTGTCAGTCCACACATCCATTTATAAGTAACACAGGTCAAGGTCAGCAGGGCCTGTCTTTCACTTTCTAGCTTATAGCCTAGTTTAAAAAATCTATGTGATAATATAGGCTAGGCCAACACACACACACAATAATCAAAACCCCTGCTGACCCTTCGCCCCACAGTTTAGGAACCACTGCTGTAGTAGGCCGATCCCTCTGCTTCGCTTTTGTCACTCATCGGCTGGGCCATAGTGGTTGCAGACGTAGGCCTAATCTGAAACCACACCTTGTGCACATTAGGTTACTTTTTAGTTGGGATCGATAAGATAAATTCTCATTGTGGTCTCATCCTGGTGTGGCTGCCAGACAAATAAGATACTGGTATAATTAGTGTAGTTTTGAATTGCAATTGCCAGATTGTTCCTGCAGGCACCTTTTTATAAATGGTGTTTTGTAGTTGACAGTTTGGGATCTCTGGGCCTGTCCAAAGATGCAAAACTCCAGGGCTTGAGGTCCTGCAAACGGTTACAAAGATTACAAATAGTAGGAAATGGCTGATTAGATTTGTAACAATTAACGTTGTGAATTGGAATGACAAGAAAGGAGTGTATCAGTGTTTAATGAAGTCTTGATTAGTGCTTTGCCAAATAAGTAGGCTAAATGTGAAAATTAACCAAACTTGTATTCTTTCTCTTCTCTAACAGCAAAGTACCCAGAAATAAAGACCCTAATGGGGCCTGATCCCAGGCTGAAGTGGATTGTTTGCATGATGGTAATGATCCAGTTCTTAGCATTCTACCTGGTCAAAGCCCTGGACTGGAAATGGGTCCTGTTCTGGACTTATGCCTTTGGCAGCTGCATTAACCACTCTATGACCCTGGCCATCCACGAGATCTCCCACAACACAGCATTTGGTAATAACAGGGCCATGTGGAACCGCTGGTTCGCCATGTTTGCCAACCTGCCCATCGGGCTGCCGTATTCTGCCTCCTTTAAGCGCTACCACCTGGACCACCACCGCTACCTGGGAGGTGACGGTGTAGACGTAGACATCCCCTCTGAATTTGAGGGCTGGTTCTTCTGCACACGCTTCCGCAAGTTTGTCTGGATCATCCTCCAGCCTCTGTTCTACGCCATCCGCCCTCTCTGCATCAACCCCAAGCCCATCACCAGGCTGGAGCTGGCCAACGCGGCTGTGCAGCTGTCCTTCAATGTGGCCCTCTACTGGCTGTGTGGAGCCAAGCCTGTGGTCTACATGTTGGCGGGCTCCTTGCTGGGAATGGGCCTGCACCCCATATCTGGACACTTTATTGCCGAGCACTACATGTTCCTGAAGGGCCATGAGACCTACTCCTACTATGGCTCCCTCAACCTGCTCACCTTCAACGTGGGCTACCACAACGAGCACCACGACTTCCCCAGCATCCCAGGACGTAGGCTACCTCTGGTATGGTATGGGTGTTGAAAACATTGGGGGGTGGCTCTATGGAGAGGGAAGACGTTATCATCGGACCAATTTAGCATTATAACTGTTGTCATCAAGTAAACAGATATAAAGTATGTAGAAAAGATAATTGACCTATATATTTTTAATAATATCATCTTTGAGAATTAACATTCACCAAAATAAAAGCTAGACAGTCAGGGAGAATTGAAAATGCCAAAAGCAATTAATTTAGCAGTATTGTTTTTGTTATTATGTTTGAGCAAAAGAACACAGCATTAGCCATGGCAAAATGCATAGAATTGCAGGAAATTAGCTTTAAAACTAACATTTTCTCTCAGCTCCATGAAATTAGTAGAATTGCAGGAAATTGGCTTAAAAATGCCAATTTCTCTACACCGCCAAGATGGGGGGCCTATAAACTTTTCTCAAAAATTCAACCATGCCGACTGGCCGACGGTGCCCATTGCCACACCCCCTGCCACGCCCACCACCTAAGCCCCTTTTTGATTCAGAAAAAAACCTGGTAATGAAATGGTAATAATTAACTTTATTTACTTAGTGCTTGCATTTGCTTGCATATCGCTATGAAACAGGATAGGTAATTAAACACGAGGTAATACAAAAATAAGATTCAAACATCCATAAAACAACCATATTCCTCCAAATATGTTTAGGCAGACTGTTCCAGTATCCAGGCTCATAAGAAAAGCCAGACCCAGAAAGATTTTGACCTCAAGCTCTATTTCGCAGAACATTCTGTGTTTGGAGATGTAAATGATCTAAAGGATGATACACCATTGTGCAAAGAATGTCTACATGTTGGTTTATGGGGAAAGGTGTTGCATCATGAGTATTCTTATATGATTCAGGACGGCTGCAATCCCCTGGTTGGTAATGAGAGAAACACTTTAGCTGAAGACACTTGTAGCACAGATGAAAGGGGAATCCCAGATACGTCACATGGGGTAAAAACCAGAAGTTTCCGGGTTAGAACTTCCACTCACCACCTAATATTAGGGCAGGGACGATACTCGTTAGTAATCGTGTCAAGGAAACAAAACACGAAGCGGATTTAACTTCTTTAGGAAAACAGTCCTAATGTTGGAAACAAACATCATTATGTTGTCACCCAGCATCACATGTATTTATTTTCCAAGCTATAGCATACAATATTTTACATACAGCAGGTTTTTAAAGGACCAAAAAGTTTATCCTGCTTTGTGTTTTCATTTTTGCCATGGAAAAAATATTACGATACTGGTATCGTCACAGCCCTACCAAATATGGTGATGAGTGGAAGTCCAGTGGCAGGCAGAGAGGGAAGATGAACCTGGGCGGACGTTCTGCTTATTTTATCATCGATGAAACATCCTATCTCCATACAGTTTTCGGTTCCCTAAACAATAATCTGTTATGAGTGCACTAAGTTTTGTAGAATTCACCCTTTGCCAAAGTATTTTAATATTCTATTGTTTAGGAATGCAAGGGCAAATTGAGTTATTGCACACGGGCACTTCTGAGTAGGCGTTCCCTAATGGAAATATGCAAATGCATGTTAAAACACGCCAGGATCTCGCTAGCTTGCACTTGGCTCTGCCCACCTCCTTGTTTGTTCTGACCAGTGTGCATCATTTGTTCCCAATGTCAACTACGTATAAGTCCTATCTTGGGTTAGTTATAATAATCTTTGCTTGTAGCAAACTAGACTAATGTTGTTTTTTTCCTTCTGCTAAACCTAGGTGAAGAAAATAGCATCAGAGTACTATGATGACCTGCCCCACTACACATCGTGGGTGAAGGTCCTGTATGACTTCATTATGGACGACCAGCTCAGCCCCTACTCTCGTGTGAAGAGGAGGCTGAAGGGAGATGTCAAGCAGGAATAAATACTTCCCTCTCCTACTCTCTAACAAAACAACACCAACGCACCTGACACCAGCCCCAACTCACCACCAATACTTTTGCATATTACACATTACTCACCACCAATACTTTGCACTACAGCTTTTGCATATTACACATTTGTACTGAACGTGAAGAGAATGTGTGTGGACATTACATGTGTGACATGTATGTAAGAATTTTTTCAAAATTAGTAATTACAAACAAAATAATTTGTACAATTAGTCCTCATTACACTTACGGTTGTCATTTCTCCTATTTTTTGCAGTTGTGGTCATTTTAGAAACCTGTAATACGGACAATGGCAAGAGTCTGATTTTGATTTTTTCCAGTCAAATTGTATTCCAGAATTAATTTATATGAAGAATTTACATCTTGAGATTTGAGTTTTGCATTTAGATCCTGTTTTTATAGAGTTTATTATATGATTCCTCACTCCGGTTTTATTTCATCTCTTGAAAGAGGTTGCATAGCAATATACAGTTACCTATTTCAATGCTACTGATCTGTATTTGCTGTGGATAGTTAGTTTGTTCTCTCCTCACTCAATCGTAAATGTTCTTTCCTTCCATGTAGAGGCCACTTACCACATGACTCGGTGTGTATGGACATATTGTCTTATGTTCTGAGCTTATTTTAGCTCATTTTGATCTGAGTGCCATTTTGTTTTGTGCTTGCCAACACCTCAGTCCAAAACGGATTCACATAGTCTGAAGCACTGCCCATTGCCCAAGTTAATTTGCTCTTGATTAAGTTTAGTTTTTGATACAATGGGAAGAAAGAATGGCATTAGTTCATAGCAAGGTTAGGTAAAACAAGGGCCGGGATTAAATAGATTGTGGGTTGTAGACAATGTAGATTTGAATCCCAGCCAAGGTCAAACGTTGTCTTTGTTTTGTTTAGTTGTGCTTTTATGGAAAGACCTCTTTATCACTAATACTCGATGTGCACTAAATCTAAGAAATATACTGCATGTTAAAGCAAATTTAGATTTTAGACTAGTGAAGTCTTTTGACAATAGCGATATTGACAGAGTCTTATGGAAACCCAATTGAAGGCCAAATTAATTGAAACCAAATGTCCTTTTGTTCATATACTGTATGCTTTCATTTTTTTTACACTTTCACTTGATTCTGAAAGTCAGATTATTTCCAATTGTGTCCTTAACATTTTCAAAGCAGTGTGCAATGCCGTAAGTAGCCTAATTAATGTGAGAGAAAACAAAACTGCTTTCTTCAGCACAGTGATTGACCTCAAGAATAGAGCAACGCCCCCTTAGTCATAGTCTGAAAGCCACTCAAATGTTTAACTTTAAAGTAGCTACCAATGAGGGAGTGAAACCCAATTGGTGCATCACATTATGCAAACCATGATGTGGATGAATATTGTCCAAAGTAGAATGGAAGCTTGCTGACAGCGGTGCTGAATCACAAATTGACCTTTAACCCTAGACACTCCATGTAGATCTGGAATGAACCTTAGCAGTATGGTAATAGCTCCATCTTGCCATCTGATTGGCTTGGAGGGAGATTCGCAATATTGAGTAGACCTAGGGCTGGATTCAATCCGTACCACATAATTAACACGGAAGATATATAGCTTTAAAAGCAATTTTCCCGCGTTCGCGGAGAGTGCGTTCACGGTAGACGCTGCATATGTTGGCTCAATCAGAAATGACCTTTACATTTTAACGCAGATCTTCCGTTATACGGTTGAATCCACCCCTACACATATGTAATATAGATGTGGCTAGGGGTTGATTTGGGATTCAAGGGCCTCTAAAACAGGGTAAAGGAGCTGTTTGTTACATCTACATCAGTATTAAACACAAGCTTGCTGGTTAGCACCTCATGAGGCCCTTTCACATTTGGGCATATTGGACTAAGGGTGAAATAATTAAAAGTAGTCTGTTTATCTTCTCAAATCAAGCCTATTATTTAATGTAGAATACTCCTCGGCAGTAAGGGAAGAGAGGAGTCATGATTCCACCCTCATTGTGGAACACCTGCCTTTTGCATTACTGAGTTTTCTCTGATTGTCATCCTTTTTGCTGGTCAACCATAAGGTCCTGTCATAAGATGGAGTAGCAGGTCATATCTATGGGGTATAGGCTAGCGCTGTACTGGTAATTTCATTGAAGTCCTACTCCAATCTCCCTTTCACCTCATTTAACACCTGATTAAGGGCCTCTACACTACAGTACTTTGATGACACAAACTTGGTCCAGGCAAGATACTTGTGTAGTGTAAAGAGATGGATCTAGATTCAAATCTCTCTTTAAGAGATGTCTCGCACACTATCTGTGGCGGTAGTGTGGGAGACATCTACACTAGTGATGCCAATCCCTGCGGGTTTAGGGTAATTAAATATTGTGTGAATGAAGGGCTGGCGGGTTGAATAAAGAGAAAACAATACCTTGAATGCATAAATGTATCATTGTTGTACAATTTATCTCTATAAGGGACATTGAGGTTTTTATTTAATAGGCTATCTGGCAGCCTAAACTTTAGGGCCTAACTGTAAGCGCGCCAAATAGCCTACATACCAAATGCTTTTGGGAATGGGCAGAAAAATTGATCCACAGAGGCAAAAAGGACAATGTCAGAGTTTAATTCAATAAGCGAAACGCTGTGAAATGGAGAGTTAAAAATAAAGACAAAAGTAATGTTTGGGAAATATTTGGTAAAGCGGTAAAAGAGGATGATAGCAGTGCCGGCTATGTTATGTGTGATTGTGAGAAGCTGTACAAATTCAACAGTCACAAGACTGGGACTTCAAATAGGCCTATGGCACGTCAAAGGAACTGTAGCCTACTGTTGAGATGGGTTAAATGGAAACTGAAATCTGGACACTGACTAGGTCTAAAACCTCTCACATAGCCAAAACCTCTCACTCTAGTGCCTTAGACCGAGTGGCGCAGTGGTCTAAGGCACTGCATCGCAGTGCTAGCTGTGCCACTAGAGATCCTGGTTCGAATCCAGGCTCTGTCGTAGCTGGCCGTGACCGGGAGACCCATGGGGCGGCGCACAATTGGCCCAGCGTCGTCCAGGGTAGGGGAGGGAATGGCCAGCAGGGATGTAGCTCAGTTGGTAGAGCATGGCGTTTGCAACGCCAGGGTTGTGGGTTCGATTCCCACGGGGGGCCAGTATGAAAAAATAAAAATATGTATGCACTCACTAACTGTAAGTCGCTCTGGATAAGAGCGTCTGCTAAATGACTAAAATGTAAATAATATTAACTCCTGCAGAATTAAGCATTTCTTGCAGTAAAATGGTACACGAAATGTAGGCTACATTTTCACTAGGGAATAGGAGTGGAGAAATATGATTTATTTCTTTCAACATCTTGAGAGAAAGTGAATGCGCAGTTAACACCTCTACAGACTATCTATCAGCATCATAAAAGCTGATAGTATTTCAATGACATAAAATATGCATCCAAGCTGAACTGAAATCTTATCAGAAACATGTTGGGTCATTTTCACAGCTTTCTATTTCCTTACAACTGGTCAAACTGATGATATTTGGAAATGTTGCAAAAAAAATCTTTCCAGTTTTTTTTGTTAGGCCCATTGCATTTTCTCCCAGGTCCCTAAACGTCTTTTCTCTGCGAAATAAGCAGAGATGACAGAGAACTTTACGGATGTCAACTAGATTGAAGGATTCATTCTATTGAGTTATGACATCATTCTGGTGAACAAGGGTTTATTTAGTCTTCTAGGGCAACATCTACACTGAACAAAAATATAAACACAATATGGAACAATTTAAAAGATTTTACTGAGTTACAGTTCTTATAAAGAAATCAGTCAATTGAAATAAATTCATTAGGCCCTAATCTATGGATTTCACATGACTGGGAATACAGATATGCATATCTTGGTCACAGATACCTTAAAAAAAGTTAGGGGCGTGAATCAGAAAACCAGTCAGTATCTGGTGTGACCGCCATTTGCCTCATGCGGCGCGACACATCTCCTTCACATAGAGTTGATCAGGCTGTTGATTGTGGCCTGTGGAATGTTGTCCCACTCCTCTTCAATGGCTGTGCGAAGTTGCTGGATATTGTCGGGAACTGGAACACGCTGTCGTACATCCATGTCTGGTGTGTATGCAGTACATTTTCAGCTTCCAGGAATTGTGTACAGATCCTTGCGACAAGGGGCCGTGCGTTATGCTGAAACATGAGGTGATGGCGGCGGATGAATGGCACAGTAATGGGCCTCAGGATCTCATCACGGTATCTCTGCATTCAAATTGCCATCGATAAAATACAACTGTGTTAGTTGTCTGTAGCTTATGCCTGCCTATACCATAACCCCAATGCCACCATGGGGCACTCTGTTCACAATGTTGACATCAGCAAACCGCTCGCCCACACGACGCCATACGTCTGCCATCTGCCCGGTACTGTTGAAACCGGGATTCATCCATGAAGAGCACACTTCTTTAGCGTGCCAGCGACCAACGAAGGTGAGCATTTGCCCACTGAAGTCGGTTACGACGCTGAACTGCAGTCAGGTCAAGACCATGGTGAGGATGACGAGCATGCAGATGAGCTTCCCTGAGACGGTATACAGTGGGGAAAAAAAGTATTTAGTCAGCCACCAATTGTGCAAGTTCTCCCACTTAAAAAGATGAGAAAGGCCTGTAATTTTCATCATAGGTACACGTCAACTATGACAGACAAATTGAGAGAAAAAAAATCCAGAAAATCACATTGTAGGATTTTTAATGAATTTATTTGCAAATTATGGTGGAAAATAAGTATTTGGTCACCTACAAACAAGCAAGATTTCTGGCTCTCACAGACCTGTAACTTCTTCTTTAAGAGGCTCCTCTGTCCTCCACTCGTTACCTATATTAAAGGCACCTATTTGAACGTGTTATCAGTATAAAAGACACCAGTCCACAACCTCAAACAGTCACACTCCAAACTCCACTATGGCCAAGACCAAAGAGCTGTCAAAGGACACCAGAAACAA